TGCTGGCCTCTCTGATCTCAAACCTTTTTTTTTTTTTTTGCTATTGTTGTGCCCTATGCTGTCAACTTAGTGGCTTTATGTTTGTTGAAGTTGCTAAGAAGGCCAGTTATCTGATACCTGAACTTTGACCTGTGGAAAGTTGCAACCTCTTTTGCTGAAACAGAGAAAGAAACAGAAGAACATGTTTTTTTCACTAAAACAGAATCTAACCGGATTGTGGCTGCTGGCAGAAAGCTCTAGCCCACGTATTGCCAGCTAACGTGGGATACTTTTCATGTATAACCCTGGCTGTGTTTCCCCTGAGACGGAGACAAATGTTCCCTGCTCATAGAATGCTTCTCCGAATACTCTTTGTATCCATCCGCACAGTCCTTTCCTCTTTCTGATTGTACTGTCCTTATCTGAGTGGTCACTGCTTCATATGTGTCTCTTGTCACTGATATTTCATGTGTTCTGCTGAACCCCAAGGCTCAGTTCTCATTACCAGCTCATTCAGATCTGTGGAAAGGATGGTGAAGATATGTCATGTAGCACATGGACTTCTGAATCTGTTGGTAGTTTCACAACTTTGAGAAAAATCATACAAAATTTATTGTTGTGAATGATTTCCAAGGATTAAAAGTGACAATTATGTGACAAGTATGTACGCTAAGAAAGTCCTGCGAGAAAATACCAGAGAAATATGAATCTATCATACCGAGATAAACTGTTACACGTGTTTACATTTCTTCACTTTAAAATTTTACAGACATTTTTCCTGGAGTCTAATACTGTCCTACTGATAACACTGTCTACAGAGCAAATTGACCTGTCACTGACTTTGATGTTGGAAGAAATTATAGAGGTCAACTCAGTTTATTGAAAGAGGTTTCTTAGAATATACACTTGTATTCATCAATTTAATACCTACATTCTCTTTTTTATAAATTTTTTACATTTAAATTTGAAACAATCTTGTTTTACTGGACAATCAAATTCCTGCACCCTCTGGTCTTCTCCCCCTACCCCCACCTCCATCCTCTCCAGTGTCTAATTCTCAGGGAGGGTGAGGCCTAGATTCTCTTAATGTTCTACTCCAGCCACATTTCACTCCTTACAGCTCTGCCTAAGGACCATTTGTAACATTACCTGCTGCCTTCATCCTTACTGTGATGGGCTTCCTTGTAACTAGAATCACACACAGTCCTCCACTGAGCACTGATTACATCTCTCTGGGTGTCTTAGTGCATGCTCAGCACAACACACTGACTAAAACCTAAGTATTTAATCTGTGAAACCATGACTGTGCACACTTATCAAGAGCAGACTTGGTAAGCACCATGCTGATTTGGTTGTTAGCATATTTTCCTGCCAAGGACCCTCAGGATTCTGTTACTTGTATCTTTACTACAATGAATACCTGGTTTTCCTTGATTGTATGTTACAAAGTGTCACATACAAAATATCTCTGGCCTTTAGGAGGTAGGAGTATTAATCATTCCATCACCTAAAAGTAATTATTTTGCTGTGTACTATAGTTTTAATATGGTCTGAGCCTTCTAAAACTCATGTTGGAATTTAACCTTATTGTGAGATACTATGGTAGTAAAAATATGACCAAACTATTCTTTTTAATTTTTATTATTAGTTTTTGTTTTAATTTAAATTTAAGTTTAAATTTTTAAATAACATTTTGTTCATTTGTCTTACATATGAACCACAGTTTCCCCTCCTTTTACTCCTTTCAATCCTCCCTTCCCCAATGGGAACCTTATGAGGTGATTTGAACTAAATAGAATTCTAGAACAGAACCCTGTGACAGAATCCTGGGGTTTGAAAAGAATGGGAGAAAACAGATGAAATAAACATAATAAACTCTTTTTACTGCCATGCATGTCTGCAGCACTTTAAAACTCTGCCATCATTAGACACAATCCTCAACCTTGGACCTCCAGAATAATGGGCCCAATTAAACTAGTTTTGCTCAGATTTGTCTGGTTTGTGGGATTGTGCTGCTAGCAACAACAAATGAATAGAAGGATATCACCTGCCTCAATAATATGCCTTGTGTCAGACCATTGTGAAAGGATGATTCATCTGAATTGACAAAACCACGTTTTTTCATCCCCTTCATTTGGGCTGCACAGTCTCATCAGTAAGGGGATGGACTGCGTAATTGAATCTGCTTTTTGTCAACATGAACTAATCCATGGAGATCATCACTTTAGGTTTTGTTCTCATAATGATACATATTTGACTGTCTGTAATTTGTCCAGGGGTTGTTCACAAGCCTCTGAATTTCATTCCCATTTCATTCCCCATTCTTACCTACTCTTTTTTTGGAAATGAGATAAAGGCATATCTTCCTTTCAATGGGTTATCAAAGACTGGCATTCAGGAACCCTGAGTAACATCTGCATGCTATCTGAAAGCTTGGGATCTCAGGCCCGAAATCTTTTAAAGCTGCTAAACATTGTCTTTCAAATCTTTACCTTTCTTGGCAACTGTGTTATTCTAATACACTTACTCAGCTTTCATCCTGTACAGGACTTTGTACTTTCTGCCGAGGATACAGTTTTGTACATAGGACTTCATAGTTAAATGGGACAGACACAAATACAGGATGTTTCAATGCCATAAGATGCTCAGGGTTGTTGTGGGCACTACCTGGTGCAGCAGGTTCAACTTTTAGAAAGACCCTCCTGGCCACAGTGGAGAATGGGGGTTCTCACACCAGAATGTGTAGGAGTCACTTGGGAATTCATCTAAAGGGCAATTCTGACTTAGTCTTCTGCTGAGGGAGCTTGGGCTCTGCTCGTGTTCCCAAGTGATATGGATGCTGCTGGTCCACGCAAAACACCCTAAAAGCAAGGCTTCAAACAGTTTGCTAGAAAGTCGGAGGCAAAGCGTTGGTTCTGTAGGGTTGGTTGGACTCTCAAAGGGAAGTGATGCTAATATAAACCATAGAAAATCTGCTTCATTCTTCAAAGCTCATAGTTTGAACTTCTTTGTGAAAGGTAATTATATTAAGTAGGTGTTGATATCTTTTAATGTAATAACATCGATACAATTTGAATTTAAGAAAGAGGAGTGGAGATGTCTGTTGCGATCTTAATTATAGCAGCTGCCCTCCATTGTCTTATTTGTGGCACAGATGGCTGGTTAATATGGGGCAAATTGTGTTGCCACCAAGATTACTATGGTTTAGTCCCAAATCTTATACCTCAGAATGTGGTTTCATTTGAAAATCAGTTTAGTGTAGATCATGTGTGTGTGTGTGTGTGTGTGTGTGTGTGTGTGTGTGAATATAGTAGGCCCATAACCCAGTTGTTTGGCATCCATATGAAATGGGGATTACAGGTACAGATCTGGAAAAGACACATAGTATGTGTCTGAATGCCAAATCATAAGCATCAGTGACAGGACACACGAAAAGCCTTTTTATGGCACTTCTAGAGGGAACTCCTCTGGATACTGCTTACTGAGGTGTTGGATCTCTAGCACCACTACTGCGAAAAAAGAAATTCTGTGGTTCCTGACACATTTACAGAGTAATAACTTGATCCTCAAGTTTGACTTGATGCTTCATCTTCAATAAAGTCCTACAGGAAATATCAACTAAAAATGTACTTCTGCTTCTTTCCGTTATTCTTTTGTGTTTTTCTTTAATTCAGGTTTTCCTTTGCTGATGTCTCCTTTGTTATTTTAGTTAAGCTTCTTAAACAGATTTTTACTAATTGGTTCAACTCAAAGGCACAACATTTCAGGTTCTGTAACTCTTGAGTTAAGGGATTTGGGGACTTAGGGGACCTGATGGCAGTTGGTCTACTTTCCCTTAGCAATAAGCCGGCTTTTTGTTACAACTACTTATTTTTGAACCTCAGAAGATGATTCTAGCAAAGCACACTTTTGCTATGTCAGCAGACCGGGAAGGAACAGGATTAGGATTAAACTCTCATCTCTCTGCTCTGCAGATATCACAAAATCATAGCCTCACATGCTGACATGCTCACTGTTCTACAGAGATCTCAAAATCATGGACCCCAGTCTGAGCTGCTCACTTCTTAGTCCACTCAGTCATTACTCCTGACAGCATACATGCAGGAATTGCTCTGGTGTGACAAAGCTAGCAGTGGAGAAGCAAAAGCAATTGATATTGCTAATCCATTTTCTTAACATTGGTCTTGGGATCTACATTTAAAGATTCTGACTTAGTTTGCCTTGAGTTGGACTCCAGATGTTCATTTTTAAGTATGCTTTTGGTGATCGTCTTTTGAGGTGAATAAGTATTACTTCCTGTAGCTATGTTCAGTGGTGCAATAAAAGCAAAGAACCAAAGAAGTCATCTTTGGAGGGAAAGGTGACTAACTACTGTCTTGCCCAAAGGCAATAGTTCTAATTGGCATTCCTTTCTTTTGCAAAGCTCTAAAACTCTAGAAGAAAGAGGTTGACATGCTCTTCTCTGTCATATACCTAGATAACTTCAGTGATGTCTAAATGACCCTCCTCAAATGAGCTGTCATTGAGAGAAGGGAAGGAAGACATGCTGGGGAAGGAAGATGCTCTAAAAAGTTCGCTTAGAGAGGGAACAACATGCAAGAAGAGTAAATGAAAACTTTACAAGTTGTGATTTATTATTAATCCCACTCCTGTAATTCACAACAAATTGACTAATAGCCTGCCTCCCTGTCTCCCTCCCAACACCAAATTACTGCATGTAGTAGATTACAAACTTGACTAGGAGAAGCAGCAATAGTCCATTAATATTTATAAGTGTCATAATGCTCACATTTCCCATCTATTTGGAGAATCAACCCAAGTAATTAAAGAGAATTGGGGAATTATAAAGATGAAAATATCAGAAAAATTGTTCATGGAGTTATCAACACTGTTTTATTTCTACTTTTACATCTTAATGACTTAATTTTGCACAGATGGCAGTTTTAAAATTTCTCAGTTAAAAAAAAAACAATTTCATTATTATCCAAGAAACACAGTCATTTTTCAGAGAGGAAACTTACATCTTTGGCTTTTCCACGAAGTATCGAAAGTGTTTACTTCCAATGATTTTTACTATGATCTCTGGCATTGGCTCTGATCTATGGGGGCTCTTCCAAGCTGAAGACATGGTACCTCTCCAAATCTTGTCAGATCCTAAGGTTGGAAAATAAATAGGTCCTTCTTGATTTCCCACCAACAACATCAACAGTAATATCAGGACCTAATGGCATTATTACTGTGAAGGTATTATATAGACTACTCCACTATAGCAATTGAGATAAAAGATACTTGAAAACATCAGGAGTAACAGAAAGATTATTCCATTCCATGATTTTTTTCCTAAGAGTAGAAGATTAAATTCTTACATGAAGGATGTAACATCCTTGTCCTTTGAGAAGTCAAGACTAAAACAGGTCTGACAAACCTTGTTAAAATAGAAATAACTCTTCAAACCTCTTCAAATAATCCAGTTGCTCTATTGCAACTATTCCTTATCTAGTTCTGACATAAGTAATTTACCCCAAATACTTTTTTTTTGAGAGGTCTCAGTTCTTATTGGGGGTGAGTTAGCAACCTCTATACTATGAAAAGCTTGTGTTACATAATGAATATGCTTTCTTCTCATTAATTCATAGGATATTCAGGGCCTAGGAAGATTGGATAAAAGGCCATCACCTGGATACCTCACTTGGCACTCCCAATAAAAGTATCTTTTACATTTTAAAAATTACTGTCATCGTGTGTGTGTGTGTGTGTGTGTGTGTGTGTGTGTGTGTGTGTATGTGTGTGTAGTACTGAAGAAGCTGATGCAATAGTTTTCTGCTTCTACATTGTGTTTCCCAGGAAGTTAACTCAGTTTGAAAGGTCAAGCCATCTCCCCAGCCAGGATGTGTGGTACTCTTAATAACCATGACCATCCTTGCTTTATCATGGAAGGAGGAGGTATATGTAGCAAGAGCTGTCAATTCCAGAAGCACACTGCAAAGCACACATACTGAATTCTTAGACAACTACATCTTTCTGCTTTGGATGGAATTGTCCTAAGGTTAGAGTAAAAATCTGGGCTTTAATAGAACACTTGAATCAGAGACCAGTTCTGATCCTCCCTTTTGCCGTTTGCTGCTCCTGTTATGCTCAGAGACTTTGGTGACTGCAGATGACAAAGTGTTTGAAGAACCACTGTTCTTTGAAAAATTGATTCATTAACTCTTGTCTGTACCCACAGCTACCAGACTCTACAATTGAAAAGCTGCTTGAGATTAGCCCAGGGTGTTTAAGCAGGAGTGTTGCTAGGTGAATGTGGCTGACCACTTCTTTTCAGAGAATTCAAGAGGCCTCTAGAATTTATTCTAATTTACAGATTGGGAAATCGAGGACCAAATGGTATCTCTCCAAGGTCTTTCAGATTGGAGGGACAAGGAGAACCCGGGTAGAGGTCTTTCCAGTGTTCTGTTCTGTTTTTTCTCAAGATTCCAGTTCAGTTAATGTGAACAGCACTAAAGCCCAAAAAAGACCGACCCGATGCAGCCGACTGCTGGCTCTTTGAAGCTAGTCCAAAACTGGGATTTGAAACTATCAGGTTACCTATTTGCCCACTAGTGGGCCATTAGTCTTGAGACCATCCCCAGGAGGGACCAGAGGGGTAGGCAATCTTACCGCCAAAGTGGTGCTTCCTACCCAGGAAGTTCAGAGGTGCGAGTGCTTCTGTCTAAAAGGCAAGGCAGAATGTGAACAAGGAGCTCCAGAATCCAGCCTATCACAGGGCCTGGTTCTCCGCAGGGGCCTTACAGCCTGGTTGCTAAGGACGCACAGAGGTTGTTACTGGGCAGGAACCAGATTTCTCCTCCCTGCTGGTGGCAGCCAGATATGGGGGTGGGGAAGGACCAGGTGTCCCAGGGTGTGGCTGCTGACAGGGGCTCACTACTGCACTGCTGTTTTGAAGTCTGTACTGAAGGTTCCTGAGCTTTTTCGGAACCCCATCTTGCTCACCTCTGGATTGATGCTGTCCTGTCCTTTCACTTAGTTTTTCTTTTGCTTTCTGAATCGTGTACAAAGTTGGAATCTTTAGACTAACTTACACTTCAGGAGGCATGGCTTTGGGTAAACTTTTTTGCTTCAGGATTGTTTCCTGCTGTACAATGATGCAAACAAGGAACAAAACAAAACTATTGGTGACATTAAATAGGATTAGAACACTTGGAGATGTGGCAGCTCAATTGATAGAGTGCTAGCCTAGACTGCATGAGGATTTGTGTTAAATCGCTGGCATGAAGACCTGGGTTCGATCCCCAACAATGCATAAACAAGGTTGGTAAAGCCAAGAACTCAGAGAATAGGAAGACCAGAAGTCCAATGTCATTCTAGGCGACCTGTTTCATTGAAGTCTGGACTATGTGAGATCTGTTAACAAAATAAATAAAGAAATGAAATTCTAATAATAATCTATAAGCAAGACCCTTTATTAGGACCAGATAAACATTGCATGATTCACAACTGCCAACTAAACACTTTACTTTTATTTTAAAAGACAAGTAATTAAAGTATTGTGAAATTACCAAGATTCCACAGAGGCAAGTGTAGGAGCTCAGCTATCACAGGGACTCTCTGCTCATGTCTCAAACATCTCTTCAGGTTTAGAGACCCAAGATTTGCATAGTTTGTTCTCAAGGTAGTTCTCTCGACTCCAGCTTAAAGCCAGTACTTTGTGTTTTAACAAACCTCTGGAGAAGTGGTTCTCAAGCTTTCTAATGTTGTGACCCTTTAACATAGTTCCTCACATTGTGGTGATTTCCCCCAACCACAAAATTATTTCATTGCTACTTCATAACTGCAATTTTGAGTCATAATGTAAATATTTGATATGCAGGCTATCTTATATATGACCCTCATGAAAGGGTTGATTGACCTCTAAAGGGGGTCGAGACTCACAGATTGAGAACATATGCTCTAGTGGCTAGCACATCCAGTGGAGTTAGATTTACTCAGTATATCCCTCCTCTTGAATAACTTTTCCATCCGACCCAGATTTCTAGGTTCTCTGTTACATGTTCAAAGTCTGTAAATGTGGGTGATGACACTTTAAATTGACTCCAAAATGGTATCATTGTATCAGCTCAAACAAGGACCTGCCTTCAGTCCCCGGTTCTGCTGTGTTTGCAGTTTTAATGCAGCCTCTGCTGCCAGTTGCAGGCAGAGAAGGATGGCCTTACTTCTGGACCTCACTCTGTGGAAGTCAGGAAATACAGGCACAATCACGACATGGAGAATACATAGAAGGGCAACTCCCTCTCATCTGCAACCATGTTTTCACATTTTAGACTGCCCAGCCTTCTCAAGGTCCAGCTCTAATAGATCATCTCCTCTATTCATGTCTCAAGGATCTCATCAGCCCCAGAGGCCCATGGTTTGCATATTCCGTTCTCACTCCAGGCTTAAATTCAGCAGTTTCTGTTTAAACAAACCTCTAGTGAATAGAACACCTCCTGAAACTTGAGTTGCAATATAACTTTCTAGCCTCATGAATAACTTTTCCATCCAAAACATTCTTTGGGATGCTTTCTTTTTTTTTTTTTTTTTCCATTCTAGATAGTCTTTGTAGGGCTGTCACTTAAATTGTTCCTTCAGCAGCACATCTTTCTAAAACAGCTCAGATTATTGATCAATATATTTTAGAACCCAAATACCTCACCTGTGTTGGAACTACCAGGCAGTGAGGATGGAGAGTTTTGGTGCATGTGTGTATTAACATTTTCTGGCAGAAAGCTGTCAACAGAGGGAAGCCAAGCTGAAAATGGAACAAGTAAAAAGTAGAGGCCAGAACAGAGTCTGGGTGCAGCTGGGCAAGAAATGGAATTTAGGGATATCAGAAACAGGTGGGAATAATTTCCCTTTTGCTGAAGATATTTTGAGATAGGCCATTAATAGTTATGCCTGAAGTTGCTATTGCTTGTCTTGAATTTTCAGGTTCTCTTTAGAGTTCAGATGTGTGGCACAGTTAATCAATTGGATGGTGTGATAATTTGAATAGGTAGGGCTCCCATAGACTCATGTGTCTGAATGCTTGGCCTATAGAGAGTGATATTATTAGGATTTGTGGCCTTGTTGAATCAGGTGTGACCCTGTTGGAGGAAGAGTGTCACTGTGGGGTGGGCTTTGAGGTCTCCTATGCTCAAGCTACATTAAGTATGGGACACAGTTCACTTCTTGTTGTCTGCAGATCAAGTAGAACTCTTAGCTCCTTCTCCAGCACCAAGTCTGCCTGTATACTGCCATGCTTCTTGCCATGGTGATAATGGACTAAACTCTGAAAATGTAAGCCACTCCAATTACATGTTTTCCTTTATAAGACTTGCAATAGTTATGATGTCTCTTCACAACAACAGCAACTATAACTAAGATAGCATTTTTAGTGCCACTGTAAATTCTGGTGTGAAGCTTGAAGGAGCAGTAAGTCCTTTGAATTATAGGTTTTACAATTCCAACTAATGACATTTGCAGGATCAACTGGGCCCTTTAACCAACTTGGTTGTTGTCAGAACAAATTTGATATATTTTTTTCAGACCCAAGGGAAGTTCTGCCTTGCCACTTCTGTACACATGAACATGAGCATGCCATTAAATATCTATAATTGGAGAAAAAATGACTGTTTTAGGATTGCAAGCTAGTGCCTTGGAAATATCCCTAAACTATTAATAGGCTTACAGTAGACTATGCATTTATTTGTAATAATGCAAATAACATAGTGCATATTTATCATGTGCTAGAAATAGTGCTAAGAGCTTTACCACTAACACTCCTTGGTAGTAGTCATAAGACTTTATAAAGACTATTAGTTCTTTCATTTTAAAGAAGGGGAAGCTGAGTTTAGCAAAGACATCTTGCATGTGAGAGTGTAGCTGGGAAGTCAGAACTGTATAAGTCCAGGTATGCTTGACTCCAGGAGTCATCAGTCTTCCCCCACAGTTCCTCTCTGGATGTCAGTTGCTATCCTTACAATTGTTAGTGTTACTGTTCAGGTTGATGGTATTTTGAGGCTGAGATCTCCTATAGCATTGTAGAATATACAGCAATTCCAAAGCAGGACTGGGGATTTTCATCTCTCACTCTGCTTTATGAAATGACACAACCAAGAAACACCTCTCCTGTGGT